TTACAAGTCCTGAGGGGGTTATGGTGGGGGGAATGGAATAACTGTCAACCAAGTTTCCTATAGCTAGCAAAGCTATCCTTCAAAATTGTATAAGATCCAGTCATGGTGGTGCATACTTATAATCCCTTCCACTAGGGTGGCTAAGACAAGAGGGCCATGAGTTCAAGATTAGCCTAAGCAACTTAGTGAGACCCGGTCTCAAAGGAAAAATACAAGGGATTGGGGATTTGCCTCTGTTGTTAAGCACCCCTGAATACAATCCTCGGTACCAAAATAATAATAATAAATCAAAAATAAATAAAAGCCTTCCAAGATAAACAGAAACTACTAGGCCAGTACTGCAGAACTTAAGAAAAACTTACGGATTGGATGGCTCAGTGATAGAATGCTTGCCTAGCACATGTGAGGTGCTGGGTTTGATCTTTAGTACCACATTAAAAAAAATTTGATAAATAAAATAAAAAAGGTATTGTGTCCATCTATAACTAAAAAATGTTTAAAAAATAGTCAATGCAGAAGAAATAAAAATAAACCTAGAACTCACAAAAGAAGAAATTGCATTTCAAGAGTAACTAAGCAAATGAGAAACAGGACCAAATTAAACATTATCAATAAATCAAAAAGTCAGGAATTAATAAACTTCTCTCTATAATACTATTGAATGTAAATGGTCTCACTCTCCAATTAAATGACATGGGCTGTCAGAATGGATTAAAAAATAAGATCCCAGCCAGGCACAGTAGTGTATACCTGTAATCCCAGTAACTTGGGAGGCTGAGGCAGAAGGATCATGAGTTCAAAGCCAGCCTCAGCAACTTATCGAGGCCCTAAGCAACCCAGCGAGACCTTGTCTCCAAATATAATATAAAAAAGGGCTAGGGATGTGGCTCAGTGGTTAAGTGCTCCTGGGTTCAATCCTCAGTACCAAAAACAAAAYAAAAGACCCAACTATATATTGTTTGCAAGAGATTCACCTTATAGTCAAAAACAGCCACAGGCTGAAAGTGAAAGGATGGAAATTGATTTTCCATGTGAATGGAGCCCCAGCATAAGCAAGAATAGCTATTCATATCTGATAAGGCAGACTTCAAACCAAAATTAATCAGAAGAGACAAAGAGGGTCACTTTATACTGGCAAAGGGAATAATAAAATATTATATAACAGTAACAATRAAGGGGCAACTAATTGCAAAAAAGAGACACTACTCAAATTGAAGTGTCAGACCCCAGTATAATAATACTGGATGATTTCAATACTGGGTGATACCTTTCTCACCATTAGATAGGTCTTCCAGATATAAACTCAGTAAAGACTCTGGACCTGAAAAATAGTATTAATCAAATGGACTTAACAGATACCTATAGAATGTTTTATCCAACAACAACTGAATATTCTTTCTTCTTAGCAGCTCATGGAACCTTCTCCAAAATAGACCACAATATTCTGGATCACAAAGCAACTCTTAGCAAATCAAAAAAAATTGATATAATTTCGTGTATGTATTCAGATCATAATAGAATGAAATTGGAAATCRATATGACAAAACATGACAAACTATGTAAATACATGGAGATTGAACAGTACATTTTTGAATGATGAATGGGTAGTAGAAGAAATTGGGGGGGATTAAAAAATTCTTAGACTCAAATGAAAACAGTGATACAATATACAAGAATGTCTGGGACACTATGAAGACAATTCCAAGAGGAAACTTCATAGCTATGAGTGCCTACATGAGAAAGTCAGAATGATCCTAAGTGCAACATACCTAGTGTTGCATATCAAGGTCCTTGGGGGGGAGAAAAATCCGAAACCAGTAGAAAAAAGGAAATATTAAGATCAGAGCTGAAATCACTGAAAATTGAGAATAAAAAAACAAAGTATCATGAAACAATTGGTTCTTTGAAAAAATAAGCATGATTGATAAGCCTCTTAGCTTTACTGACCAAAATAAGAGAGAAGATCTGTTGGGTTTAGTGGTGCATGCCAGTAATCCCAGCGATCAGGAGGGTGAGGCAGGAGAATCACAAGGAAGGCCAACCTCAGCAACTTAGTGAGGCCCTACACAACTTAGTGAGATCTTGTACAAAGAAAATAAGAAGGCCTGGGAATGTGTTCAGTGGTAAAGCACTCCTGGGTTTAATCCTTAGTACTATAGAGAGAGGAAGGGGGGAGGGAAAAGAAGAGGAGGAGGAGGAGGAGGAGGAGCTAAATTAATAAAATTAGAGATGAAAAAGAAGAAATCACCACGGACATCACAGATCATTAGGG